TAAATTATAATTAGTATTATAATTTAGTAATTAGTCCAAGTAGGCACCTTCTAATACAAAGCACTTCTATATCAATGCAAATTTCCCCATAAGTAATAATGATAACTCAGATGATTCATTGAACAGCCCCAAAAATTCATATAAAAATGATTACAGTACTGCAATATAATATAAAATAATAAAATGCAAAGAAAAAATAAACAAGAGACCCTGCACTTATGTTTGAAAACCTTCCCAGCTGGTAGGGAGACAAGAGAGGAAGAAGGGTTACCATGTCGGACAATTTGTACTATCACGAATGGAATCACTAGTATCTATTGGTTCAGTGGAATTTTTTTTCTTTTCGTGCAACTTTGACAAGGAACCTATCCAGTGACACTTGGTTTTGCCTTCTTTTGAGGATTTTGTGAAAACGTGACTTCGGATTCTTGTTAAACAGATTCATCACTGGCAGTACTACAACCATATTTGGAAGGTGCTTTGCTGCAAAATTTTGCAGTTTCCCACATTTTACACATCTCTCCAATCTCACTTGAAGTGAGGGATTCCTCTCCTTTTTCTCCTCTTCCTCTGCAGAGAAGATCTCCTCCCATAACCTCTGGCAGTTGGGAGATATTCACTCACAATCCTGGAGAAAGAGAAAGGACCATTGGCTCAGCTTGTGTGACTTTCTTGCAGAACTGTTACTGCTTATTATGTCAATAAGTATCTATTAGATACAGTTAAAAACTAATGTTTCAAGAGCAAGATACAAAAACAAAAACATAAACAAAAACCTACCCTAAATAATAGCTACTTATTACACAATGGCGTGGATATTATTCTAAATGCATTAGTTTAACTAATACTGTGAGGTATGTATAATCATTTTATAGCTAAGGAAACCAAATTCAGGCATGTCAAGTAATTTTCTCAGGGTCATACAACCAACAAACTGTAGAATTTAGATTTGAACCTAGGCAGTCTGGCTCTAGCATGTGTGCTCTTAACCACACATTACACTGCCTCATAAAACATAAATGTTGGCCATATCTCTGATTTAGTGATATAACTACATAAAGTTGATTTTATCAAATTAAAGGGCAGTTGAGCACTAAATGTCACAAAGAAGTTTAAATGTTAGCACTCAAACCTTTAAGTCTATTTTTTTTTAATTTTAGCAGTAAAATAGCTTTCCAAAAGAACAATATTTCCTTCTGATTCAGTAGTGAGAAGTTTTTCATATATTTACCAAGCCATCTCTGTATTACTAGAAAATCATGATCCAGTAGCTGCATGATAACCTTTTGCTTTTGCAGGCCTGCGGAATGAACCCAGGGCTTTTGTGTTGAGCTACATTGTCACATTCTCAGCTTCTTTGGTAAGTTTTGAGTCAGGGTCTCACTAAGCCATTACATTGTCTGAACTGGGCTCACACTTGCAATTTTCCTTTCAAAGCCTCCTAGAGTGAACTTCTAATTTACAGTTTACATTTGGGTGTCAACTTTTGTTAACTTCCTTCTGTGCACTACCACCTCTCCCTGGGCACTCCTGCTGGGCACATACTGATGGATCGGAGGTCTGCAGTTGGCTTTTCCTCCTGGATAGTTTCTCATTCCACAGCATCATGCCATCCCATGTTTACCGGAGAATGGGGAACATTTTAAAAATGTTTTTTAAAAAACTTCCATCTGTAGTCCATAGAAAACCCTAAGTTGGATCAGGATCTGAGATTGTCAATAAGGTGTTTTTATTACAAGTTGCAAAGTTCAAACATAGTGGTCTCAGCTTTGCCTGTGCACTGCACTTATATTAGGGGTGTCATAAGTGTTCTCACTGGTACCACCCTAGTTTCTAATGTGTTTGGACTGTGGCTGTGAGTTACAGGAGTTGCCTACAGATCCTATGCACAGCCGAAGCTGATTGCATCTGTTGACACTGGGTTCCAGATAGTTTTTGCTATGGGAGACTGTCCTGTTCTGTGCTTTTTCCAGTTGTAACAGCCTAAGATGTTTCTAGTCTTTGCCAGACGTCTTGGAGTGGGTGAAGGGGAACAATTGCTCCCACTGAGAACCACTGGTGCAAGCCATTGCTAGTAGCCTGAACTGGGAAAGAAATCTCTCAGGAAGAAGAGAAAGGTGTTGCTGTATACCTCACTACTGGGAAAATACACAAATTTCTTGGGGAGCCTGGTAGAAAGCATCTTGGGGAACTGGGTATTAAGGAAATGATACACATCTTCCCAGCTGACCTGAGGCACAACCAAGGGAAAATACATATTTTTATTTTAGTTATCCTGAACATTCTCACTTGGGTGAAATATCATCCCTAGCTGAGGAGTTGCTTCCAGGAGTGGGGAGACAAAGTACAAGGGGGTTAAGTGCATGGAAACCTAGAAGGTCTAGGAAAGTTTTAGCACTGAATCAATAACAGAGTGAGCCAAGATTGGTCAGAGTGGAAGGCACATGTGTACGTGTGAAAACGTAAGGTTAGATGTGTTCAAAGGGAAAGGGTGGGGTTGAGGAATAAAATACTTTAATGGTTGTCTTAATTTGCAGTTCAGAAAACAGCCAAGGAAGAACCAAAAAAGTAGAAAAGTGAGAAGAAAAGGAAGGAAGAAATAACTGTTTAGCAAGCAGTTGCCACCATGAACACGTGGAGCTTAATCCTTTTGGAAGTGGCCGGGAGCCAAGGCAGGACACACCAAGTACAGAGCAAGAGAGCCACCATGTTTACTCACAAATTCTCATTTGTTTCTGGCCCAGGCTTATGACCAGGCCATTCATTCCTAGTACTTGCTGAGTTCTGGTTTGCGCTCAGGCAACATTGTGGGTGCCGGCAGCTGAAAGCAGTCAGGTGAGCATGGTTGGCGATTATTGATGAGATTACAGGGGCTTCTGGTGGCCTCTGCAGCAGTGGTCACCTTAAGTCCTACTTAACGGCATTAACTGTTTTGATAGTTAAGAATGTTCACCTTTCAATAAGGACTCTGTGACCTAAAAGAACACTGGAATTCACACCAGCCTCTGTCGCCCTCAAATGTTCCTTAACTTTTTCCTTGAGAACATGAAATATCTTTGCCAAAAATCCGGCACTCCTCCCAGCTCGGTCCCTCATCCTTACATCTTATCCAACAAGTCCTTTCAGTTCCAGTCCAGAGTTTTCCGGGATGGATCTGCTTCTGTTGCTACCTCATTCATTCAAGATGAAGGCATGTTTTGCCACAACCTCCTCCTGGAATTTCCTTACTCCCTCTTCTTTAGGTCCTTAACTCCCCAGGCATTTTGTTGGAATATTTTCCTCCTCATTTCATATAATTTCATTCACACGTTCCCAAAGGCTTGCTCCTTTCCACTTTTTAGTTCTGTCTGCAGAAGAGTCATTTCACTGAAGACCATCCTGACTGAAGAAAGAGTCCTCCCTGCCCATTCCACGTGTTTGTTGATCTATCTCAACCTCTATTTATTTTCTTCTCAGTTTGTTTCATAGTTTGTAATTAATTTGCTTATTTATTTTGTCTAACTTCCTCTCAAAAATAGTCTCTCCAAGAGCAAGGACAGTATCTCTCTTCTTGATGAGATCAAGAGATGGAGGGAGAGAGTTGTACCAACTTCCCACAAGGAATGTAAACATTATGTGCTGCAAACATGAACTAATAAACCAAAAGAATAAAAAAAAGTCTATCTCCTTGACCTCTATGTTGCTAGCAGTTTTGCCAAATATAGCAAATAAAAATACAGGCTTTTCATTTGAGTTTCAGATACACTATGAATAAAATTTTAGCATACCACTATTCAAGTATTGAATAGAACATACACTAAAAATTATAGGTGGTTTGCCTGGAATTCAAATCTAACTGGACATCTTATATTTTATCTGGCAATCCTAATTCCTAAGGTGGTTGCCTCTCATTACCTGTCGTTGAATGAAAACTTAATGACAGGTAGAAAAAGTGCTACCATGGCAACAAACGGGGTGGGGGGGTGTCTTAAAACCACAGACTAGACGCAGTGACAAGTGTTACTTGTTACCATATTTCTGTCTGAAATGTGTATCTCATCACTCCAGCAGAACCCAGCTGACTCACACCCTGTCTTGGATAGCCGGGTCCTCCGGGAGGGATGCTTCCAGTCCATAGGAAGCGAGCCATTAGGCACAGCTGTCCACACTCTACTGCCTCATTTTTATCATGTCTTTGTGCTTGAAGGATCTTGATTCTCTTATACCTTGGTCTCCCCAGATGGTGAGATGCTCCCATAAGGAGAGATACCAGTTTGTCCTTTTCCTAGTAGCTGGCTCTAGAGTAGGTAATCAAAACTCAGTCATGACTGACAAGTGGACTGATACGTGAGTGAATAGTAGAGTGCACAGTGGTCCCCATTTGACCAGGACGAGGGGGGTTCCTGGTTATGAGCCTTTCGTTGCCAAAACGGGCAATTCTAGGCAAACAAGGACAATAGGTGATCCAAAGTAAATTAATTATCCTTACTTTTTGGTGGCTGGTTTTCTTTCTTTTTTTTTCAATGCACATTTGCAGTGCATAGTATTTGCATTCCTTGTATGGAGCTGGCACATGTACAGAGCACACCTGAATTCTTTTTTCACCCTTTTTCCTCTCTCCTTTTCTCAATCCCTTTCCCATTTGAGAAAGATCTCTCTACTTCCTATTATCTATATTTTGTTTTGTTCTTTATTTATAATTTGGACTTCGCATAAGAGAAACCATGTGATATTTAAGCTGTGTGTCTGATTTATTTCACTTATCATTATGGTCTCATGGTGCAGCCATTTTCCTACAAATTACTAAATTTTATCTTTCCTTTTAGTGGAGTATTACTCCATTGCATATAAATATCACATTTTCTTTATCCATCTGTTGATGAAGATATAGGTTGCTTCCCAGATTTAGTTACTGTGAATTGTATTGCTATAAACATAGGCAGACATATACCACTGTAATATGATGACTTTTAACACTTTGGGGAAGATACCTAGAAGAGAGATGGCTGGATCAAATGGAATTTCTAGTTTTAGGGTTTTTTTATTTTAAGACAACAAAATCTAACAAAATAAAATAGAATAAAGCCAATCAAAACAAAACAGTGAAAAGTGGTACAGAACTTCAAAACAGGATAATAGAAAATCAACAATGGCTACCATAGTACATCTTGTTATCTTCACAGTAGTTGTCCACACCATCAGACATAGTAAATCAAATAAACAAAACAGAATAAAATCAATCAAAACAGAACATTAAATAAAAAAATAATAAATCAAATCAAAACAGTGAGATTAGTATCCTCCTAATGGATGCTCAAACTATTGGTCTCAGGGCTACGAAGTCAATCAAACAATACAAACATTTAGTTGTTTTTGTACCTCACTTGCTCTCAATTCAGCCTGTCCTCCACACCGGCTGGTTGTTTTCAGGGGTGGGGTGGTGGGGTGGTGGGGTGGTGGGGAGGTAGTGATGCTTCTTGATTTTCAGTCTGTGCACCGGTTGGCTCAGGGGAAGGGCAGACTGGCTTCTCTCTTCCTGGGGTCCCGCATGGTTTGTGTGCCTTACAGGAAGAGCAATTGGCTTCTTGTTGTACTCCTCCCACAGTTTGTTTTTGAGGACTCTGCATAGTGATTTCTACAGTGGTTGTACTAGTTTAGTGCTGGGTTTCCATTATACTGCCTGTTTTCCTGGATACCCATCTGTTTTAGGCAGATAGCAGGCTGATTGGAGCTCTGCTGACCTGACTTTCCCCGGGCCTGGATTGATTTATAAGGCCTTTAGTTTCATTTTGGCTCAGGGTCTTAATACTGTCCTACAGTCCTGGTATTGTGGTTTCTGGTAGTTACTTGGACTACACTTCCAGAGTAAAGACCCTCAGGCCACGTACCGGGGAAGGAGGCTCAGCCTTGTTCTAAAGTCATGGTCTTACCTGGCCCACCATAAGTCTGTCTCATCAACACCTAATTATGACCATTTGCCACATCCACAGAACACCAGAAAGTATTTATTGAATGATTAAGTTGATAGCCACAGAACTTTCCAAATATGTTTCCACAAATGTTCTGAGTTACTTGACTATGAAACCCGAGTTCTCATTTTAAATCACCTCTCCCCCTTCCCTTATGCTACCCAAGAACACGAGATTCTCAAAGAGACTAAACAAAATTCACTTTCAATTACAGCAGAGATACCCCAGTCTCATTTAGGTCCTGCCGGATTCCTGGAATTGGGGGTGAAGTGGCTCTTGAGGGGCTCCCAGCACTTGTAGTAGTTCTCATCCAAACAAGAGGAGGTCTTGAGTCCCCATTTGGTGACAGCCAAACTTAGGGAAGATTCAAACATAAATGCCTATAGGAAATTAGGATAAATTTGAAAGAAGAGGTAAGATAGACAATCAAGTATATTTGATTAGATTTTAACAGATGTCAATAGCAGACACGGTAGGCTAAATCTTTGCCTAATCAATCACGTGTACTGGCACGGTGAAGAGAGGAAGCTCAAAACTTGGGCTCTGGATCTTGAGCAAGATCTTCAACTACTCAGTGCCTCAAGTTTCTTCTGCCAAGGAGAAGTTGGTGCTCATTCCCCGCATGGTCCTCATAGCACTATGGAGCTAAATTTGCTAGATCCAAGACTATTCTCTTTCCCACGAGCCATCACCATGATGGTTGTGTCCTTGTGAGAAACAGCACAGTCCCCATTTCATAAATGAAACTAAGACTCAGACCTGGGAAATGGCTTGTCAGAGGTGATTAGTCAAAGCAGAGCTGCGATTTGAGCTTTCTATTTCAAGACTCTGACCAAGTGATTGGCTGGGAAAGGAAAAAGAGGTGTAGGGAAACCAGAAACAACAGAAATAGCAGCAGTACTTTGAAAAGCCACCTGACAGAAGGGTCTGAGTGGTGGATGTCCCACTGTGTTCTGGGGGTTTTCATCCACAACAGAAAGAATGTGACATATTCTGTGCATCTTAGACATGTCAGTTTCTTTTTTTCCTTTTCTTTTTTTTTTTTTTTGTCTTTTTCTTTTTTCATTGGTTCCAGAGATCGAACTCACGACTGCCTGCTTGCAAGGCAGGCGCGTATGCTGCTGAGCTAAATCCCCAGCCCCAACATCTCAGTTTCATCAATTGCTGATTTTCCTGTTGCATGCTTTTAAAAAATAAAAATGAAAACCAAAACCAAACCCTGCAATTTTCATATGCTCACATTAAATTTTTAAAAGTATATGGAGGTGAGAAGAAGATGATACAAGTTTTGTGACATAACCAAGAGAAATCGCCTGAATGTTGGGTGTCTCAGACACATTCATTTCTTTTTGCCTAAACAAACAGCAAATAAGTGTTCTTACTTGACTTCCTGTGACAGCTTCATGTGAGGACTGCATGAGATCAGAGGGAAATGCCATGCAATATATAAAGCACTACTTAGGTATAAAGATGATTACTATGCTATTTTTTCCTTTTTCTTTTCTTTTTTCTTTCTTTCTTTCTTTTTTTTTTTTTTTTTTTTTTTTTTTTTGGTACCAGGGATCAAATTCACAACTTTGTGCTTGCCAGGCAGGCACTTACGCCATTGAGCTAAATCCCCAGCTGTTATGCTGTTATTATCTTTTAGACTCCTTCTGTGGAGCTTCATGGTCTTGCAGGAGTACCAAAAGCCCCTTCCCAGCTGGGCTGTGAAGACAATGTATCAATTTAGTCATTCCAAACTAGAATAAGGATAGGCACATAGACTGACCTGGACCTAAATTGTAAAATGGAAAATGGTAAAGGATACCCCAAATTAGGTCTAGTAAAGCAATAGATATCCTTTCCAACTATCCTGGACTTCCATATACCCAGTGTCTCCTATGGTCTTCGTGCTCTAAATAGAAGAGTTCTTTCCCACTTGTAACCCAGGTCCCAGATATTACCTGAAGTCTTACTCCTCACAAAAAACCCTTATTCTGTGCCTCACAATTGTAGACACCGCTCTCCAGAAATACTGACAACGCAAAGCCAATTTAGGGCACCAAAGGTAACTGAGGGGATGATGCTGGAGTAGCCTGTGCATCTCCTGGAGGCTTCAGAGGCAACAGCTTAACTGAGATTGTCAAACCATGTATACCAGAGACTTGGGGTCCTGCAGAAACCCCACAGAGGACCTTGCAAGAGGAAACCGAAAAGGGGTCAAGCAGATGAGAAGGACTCTGGCCCACACTACTCCAGGAAGTTCCACTATTACTAGCTTCGGGATTGGGGTTGAAAGTGGACTGCCTGGACAGGAGGATAGCCAGTGCTCAGAGGTCAGCTAGTTTACAAACAGAGGAGGGTCCAGCAGTTCTCTGTTATAGATTTGAAACCAGAGAGAACTGAAGGCATTTGTTTTAAAATGCAAAACAATTTTGCATGTGATTTAGCATAAAATTACTTCTGAGGTCCATTAACTCTACCTCGAAGAATGCAAAAATAAAAAACTCCAGCATCATAGCCAACTACAACTGAGTTCAGCCTCAATGTTTATAGACTGACACCAAAGGAATACAAAGCAGGTTTTAAATCCCATTGGTTTCAGCCTATGCCAAAGCAGAGTGAAGGAATGTAAGAAAATAGCTGAGAACTGCTGCCCATAAGCCCTGACTGTAGAGAGGCAGGGCTTTCTGACCCTTGTTGGCTTAGAAACTGGCTGAAGAATAGCAGCTGGTCTCCCCTGCTGTTGCAGACTTGGGAGACTAAAGCAGGAGACTCTGAAACAGGGCACTTTCACAAGGCTGCATTCAGATATAGGAAGCTCTTTCCCACAGAATTAGTCACATTCCCTTACACTTGAATAGTGCTGGAAAAGTCCATAAGGTTAACTCGCCACCATCTGTGGACTGGATAGCACACTCATTTTACAGATGGAGAAGATGAAGCACAGAGGCATGGCAATTATGCTGCTTACCATGGTGCCATCAGCAATCCTCTCGGGTACCAGCGTGGCCTTGCTGGCCTTCTCAAAGCAGTCTGCATCAGGGCCATGAGGGGTCATGGAGCTGTGCAGGCTGCCTCCACCTGGCAGGAATCCTCCTTGTTTTGCTTCATAGTGACCTCGGATGAGCCCCATGAATTCACTCATACAGTTCCCTGGGAAGGATGAAACAGCATGTTTTTATTATAGAAGGTAAGACAACAAAACATCCATTCCCCTGTAGTATTATTTCTGCAGAATGCCAAGAAGATAAGAGCATGGATTGATGACAAAGAGTATGGATTTGCAGAAGAGCAACCACAAAGCAATGTAGATTTCTTGGTAGGCTAAAGTCTACTCCATGGCTACGTGGATTTGAAAGTCTCAGGATCCGCTATCTGAAAGAAACTAGGCTACACGTGAAAACCAAGGCCTAGACAAGAAAAAATAAAAATGCAAAAAAATAAATAATGGAAGTACTATAGCCCTAACATTTACAAGTGCCATGCCAAAATCACTTCTCAAGTCAGAACCTCTTCCTAAATTATCCCCGTAATACACGGCATTACTGTATATATTCCTGATTCCCAGTCTAGAAAGCCAAAGTAAAGTGTGTGTGTGTGTGTGTGTGTGTGTGTGTGTGTGTGTGTGTTTACTGAAGAAAGGTGACATAATAATATAAAGAAACCTGGGCTTATGGTTCATTATCAAATGACAATCTGTGGTAGAATCTTGCTGTCTGTAAAATACAGACCATAAATGCTATTTATCCTAACAAATGTCTCCTGTGCAGGAATCAGATATAACCTTATTCTTTGGTTCTTACAGAACTCTACATCTTAAAATTAGAGATTATCTGCATTTCCATTCAATGCAGAAGGATTTTTTTGTAACATTCCTGACAGGTCACCTCTTGGGTTTTTCCTGTACAACTTTTATGAATGGAAGTTCTCTACTCTACCAAGCAACCCATCATATTACTGAATAGCTCTGAGTGTTGGGCAGCTATTTTCTGTGTTAAATGGAAATTTGTTTTCTCATAAGTTAAATTTATTTATCCTGGTCGTACTTTCTGGAGTCACCCAAAATTTGACAAAAATTATCATGCTGGTAATCTTCCAAAGTTATGTTTCTACTGAAATAAAGCTCTTTATTAGAATAATACCACCTTTGGAGAAAGAATGAAGAAAATATAACACTTGAATAAATTTAAGTGCCTTTGCATCTCCATCTTCCCCTCTACCTGTCTCTCCATTCATCTCCACCCACTCCACCCATCTGTCTGTCCATCCATGTAACATATATAATTAGATATTGTGCTAAGTACTATATTCAGAGAGGAGTAAGAAAGAGATTGTTTAAAAGGACTCGTAGTCTGTTCCATGAGAATGTGGAAAACAAGCCATGAACAGAGTAGAGATGCAAAGTCAAACACTTGACATGGGTGGAGACCTGCTCTTGTTCCTTATATGTAAAGTGTAAGCAAGTGTCAAACCATTTCCATTATATATTAGGCAGCCACACTCACTCTGCTCCTGAAACAAATAAGCCCAACAAAGTGAGTGTGGGTGTGACAGCCTTTGCAGAAAATCATAATTCTACTTGCTTCCCCATAAAGTGGAAAGACAAAAAAAGAAGTAAATGGATGTACAATGTATCTACATTTTAAAAACAGTTCTGCTCATGACTTAAATCTGCTGTCACGCTCCATATCCAGTATGTGTCCTTTGGGTCACCTTCACAGCTTCATTTTCAGAAAGAAGCGAGGCAGAACTTAGCTTTGATCTGAATATGAATTTAGGTAGCAATGAGTTTGGTGATGACATTTCTGTATCACTTACAATATTGTAAAGGACAGTAGGAGGGGAGACCTTGCCTTTCTGATTACAGCTGAATCTCGTTGACTAAGGTACATTAAAAAGACTGAGGCAGTATTTCTACAGCAGTAATTCCCCATTTTGCCTTTAAAGTCACATTAAAGTAGAAAAGAGTCTGAGCATTGCTAAAGCAACATTTTATATTTCTGGTAAAACTAATTTTTAACTTGCAGATCTGAGGTTTTTTCTCAACCAACTCAGGGCATCCATAGCTTTTTGAAATTTATCCTGGGGCCAAATTTACTTTGAGAATAATTTTAAAAATTAGAGGAGACATTTCACAGTGTCATTTGTATTAGATGGTTTAAAGTACAAGTGAAGACGAAAGAGTGGGTTGATGGCCAAGGGTACAAAACCAAGCCTGTCCAAGTCACTCTGTTTTGTTAACCCTCTACCCAGCTGGCGAGATGATTTCTCAACATAAGGTGTGTAAAGCTTCTGCATCACAGTCCACTGGTTTGCTGGCTCAAAATGTAAGTCTGAGGTTCTGCCTCAAAGCCAAGGAAATAAACTGTCTGGGAGTGGGCTTAGTTATTTTAAAAAGACACTCTTAATGTGGCATCACAAAAAGAGATGCTGGAATTTAAACAGAAAGTGGTCTTCTTTGATCCTGATACTTCCCCACTTCACAAATACCTCTGTTGCTCCTTCAGCGCAATGTTATACATGTAGAGCCCTGGCATCAGAGAGCTGTGACATAGAGGCAGAAATCTCATCTAAGCAGAAGGCCCTTTAGTAAACCATGGGAAAAAAAATTGTTTTCTAGAATGTTACAGCTGAAAAGCATCTTAGAGTCTTTCCAGAGTTCTGTGTTCAAAAAATGCAATGTCTGGGAAACAGAATTAAATGCTTAGGTTTGTTTTTCAGTTTTCTATTGCACAATTAAAAATGTTAACCTCAATAAATATAGTTGTGGCCTATCTTGCTAATTTTTGGTGATGTAGTCACTTACTGAATAAATATTAGGTGCACATCATGAATCAGGCACTGTGCCACTATGCTATCAGTTAGTGGCCATAGTACCTGCTCTGCCTTTGGACTCTGTGACTCTTCCATTAACTAGCTGTGAGTCCTTGAGAGTCAACTAAGTCCTTTGCGTGAATTTCATCTTCTAGTAAATACAAAGGGGTATAATCTTATTACCTATCTCTTTCAGCTGTCACTATAATTAAATGACAATAATTTTACAGAATTTGTAATAGTGCCTTTTGAACTGGTAAGTAATCATTAGTTTTTACTCACAATAATATCAGTAAAATAAAAATAGGTTTTTAAGACCCTGTTCTAGGCAACAAGTGCTCTGCAGGAACTTCTTCCAGAATAGAATTTCTCATCTAGTATAGATCAAGAATGGCTTTGCATCGCCAGGAAAATTAGAGAAGGCACATTATGCTGGCACTTGCACTAGACTTAGGTAATGAAGCTCCCCAAACAACTGCTAACAACATTGCTGCCAGTCTCTCTTTTAAAAGCAAGATCTGCAGTGTACATAACTTCTTGTTTAGCATTTCACCGGTCTATGCACCTATCTTCAGGTCTAGAGAAAAGAAAAACCTAAGCCTGAAATCTATGCATTCTGCCATCCCTGTAGATGGTGTGAGGTCTCAGCAAAATCTGGGGAGCAGAAACAGGCCCAAAGGAGCAGGGTCTTGACCTCAGGGAGGGGAAAGTGCGCAGAAACGATCTGGGCCTTAGTCCACTTTCTGAGCTCCACATGTGACTTTGGGAAAGACTTACTGTGGTAATAAGGAGGCCTGAAGGTTTTAGCAGCAACCCCCCATCGAGGTGGGAAGATGACGAAGTCCGCGATGGCCACTCCAGGGCGCACAGACTTGGCAGTCAACACCGTGAAAATGGATGGGTCCTGGAAGGCACAAGAAGAGGCTGAATGCAGGTTGCAAGGCAGGTATCAGACAAGGACACACATGTCACCTGTACACCAGTGTATTTTCAAGTAAAAGTCTAATTTTCGATCAAATGACACAGCTCAAGGCTTAGGAGTCTGGGCTTCTGGTCAATATTCAGTTATTACTCATCTGATTCTTGCTGTGCTTGAAACCAAACGAATTCACACAGGCTAAGAGGATTTTGAGCTGCTTGTTCACCCTGCTGAGCCCACATCACACCTACCTACTACCCATGGTTTCAACAGCAGTGGTGCTGCCTTCCAACAGTGCCTCAGGCAGGAGAGATTCTTGGAGTAAGGTGGAAAATAGTGTCTAAAGGATAAAGTTTTGGTGAAATGCAGATGCGCTTCTCTTTGGGTGAATCCAGATTATATGCACAGACAAGAAAGTCAGAAATGTTTTCCTGGTTTCTGATCGCACATCTAAAGTATACCATTTTACTCCACCAATCTTGGTGGTGATAGTGCAGAAGAAAAATAGATCGGAGGACAAGATTATGCTTTAAAAAAATCGTTAGACTTTCAGTGGAAAGACTGAGATTTGTTTTAACTAAAATCAACAATCGTGTTTAATTTCAAACTCCAGGTTAGCATCTGGGGAGTCAAAGATAATTGAGACCTCCCTGGACCTCTAGCATTCAGTGAGGTCAGGGAAGGAGGAAGTGATGGAAGCCAGAGCAGGCTTCAAAGGGAAAGTATCATTTAAGTTAGGTTTTGATAAGTGAACAGAAAAAAGAAGAAGGAGAAAGGGAGGGTGAAATGGAAGGGAAGGGAAGATGAAATAAGAAACATGGTAGGAAGGGAGGAAGGGAGGGAGCAAGGAAAGAAGGGAAGGAGGAAGAAAGGAAGGAGGGAAAGGCATTCTATCACCGAGAACAGAAGAAGCATCAAAGTGCAGAAGATCTTGTGCAGAGGAGACAAGGTTAAACCCAGGGCGCACTGACAGGAAGGAGAAGGGCAGAGGCAGTGCTGGAAAAGGAGGCCAGGCCAGATGGTGGAGAACATCAAATGCCACGCTTCAGAGCGCAGGCTTAATCCCAAACTGTGGGAAGCCTGCAAAGGTTTTCTAATGTGCTGGGAGAGTGATGGGATCTGAGTTTTGGAAAGGTAACTGTAACAGCTGCACAGAGAAGATTGGACCTGTGTAAATTAAAACAAAAAAGCTATTGCTGGTAGAGTTAACATTTCTTCATCTGTCATGGGAAATACTGTGAAACTACTGACGAAATGCTAGTGAGGCTCAAATAAAGCTTGATCAGTGTCTCCGGATGCTTTTGCAAGTTGTCTTGAGCTTGGCTTTTGATTTTCTTTCCTCCTTTGGTTTTATTAAGAGTTGCAGTTATTTAGAAAGGTAGTTTTTTCCCCCCAGAGATAAGGTGAAATGGTTCAGAGTAATCCTCCTATTTCTGATTCTCTGGTTTCTGCCTAATTATCCCTCCAGCTTGTGGGTTAAGTTAATCTATTATAAACTAGGCTGCAAAATGAACTTTCCCACAGGATCTCAGAATAGCACTTTATCAAGAAGTGAGGACTTATTTGTGGCTGCTAATTGACTAAAAATTACGACCAAGTTCATACAGTAGAGTTTCTTTGATTGAAGTTCAAGCAGTTAACATGGTGAATAATTATGGAAGATGGATATTCACTCCATTAGTGCCAAACATTGCAAACTGGAGGCATTGAGGTAGACAACCAGGGCCAACAGTGTGGATTCCTGAGATTTGTGAAGACAAAGACTTCTCCAAATCCATAAATATTCTCTTCTTCTGAGTCTGTACTAGCAGGTGGTTCAGTGCTTTTTAAAACGTTTCTATCCATCTATGAGAGTTATTGTGATTATTCTTCAGAGAACTAAGCTGTATTTCTGGATGGATGCGACGTATCTGGCTTCCTCAGTAGCTATGTTATTTTCTTCTCCAAGGGACAGATGATTATGCATAAGCCTTCCAAGGGTAACCTTGGAAATGTCAAATGTAAAAAGGCCACGGTCTACTGTGGACCTCTCCTATCCAAGAGCTGTCTCACCACCAAGGCCCCTACAAGGTAAACTTACCGCATGGTCAAAAGCCACTGAGTTGATGACCATGAAGTTCTCCAAATTGTACTTGTAGGGTGTGTAGTTTCCATGCCAAGCCACAACATTGAATGGGGAGACAGCCTAATCAGACAAAACAGGAAAGGAGGATATTAGGATCAGTGATTTTGTAGCTGTGATCCTACACTATATACTAAGCATAACTCTATGTTATATTGTTCTAAATATAATTATACCATCTTTTGGGAGAAGCATAATTCTTAATCATGCTGTGGGATGCTTCATACACTTTCTCTAGGATTAGTCACAAACCCTATTTTTCCAGTTCATAAGCTGCAGCTGCCTTTTATCACATGCACAGCAGAAGCATAGCACATTCACTAAGTACTGCTTTTTCAACATTTTTTAAACATAGCTGTGGAAATCTGTGGATGCCAGCAATTTTCAATAAGTCTGGGTTACCTTCTGTTTCCTGGTACCGTGCGCACTCACCACGATAGTTCTCCAGGTTTTTGCAGCCCATAGAGGCTTTCAGTAGACACAGTGCCAGGGTTGGTGAGCACAGGAGAGGGGAGAAGACCTCTACAAATTCAGGTACTAAGGATTTGAGACTCAGAGTGAGCCTAAGGTCCTTACTGAGGTTGGAGGGGGTCAGTGTTCTGCTTAAGAAGGTGGTCTCTATTGCCACCATGGGTCTACTTAGAGAGGGGATCCTACTCCAAATGCTCGAAAGACTGCAATGAATAGACCAGTCACAGAAGTGGTTTAGGATTAAGTGGAATGATCAGAGGTGCTTCAAAACAGTGAGAAAGCATTGTGACTCCTACGCAAGAAGAATAAAGAGAGAAATACAGTTATAAAACTCTACAAGAGATAGAATATAGAGAAGGCATTTCTCAGGGGTATACTGCAAAATAGTTAACAGACAATTAGCTCTTTGCAAATAAAAAGCTCTGATGTATAGCTGATTTCTGGGGTGTAAATGCTCTTACCATGATCATGTTTGAGCTATCAATGTGAAGTTGCCTAGCATATAGTTATGAAGAAAGTACACATCAGCTTGTGTGAATTTTATGAACTGGTTGTGGTACACCACTGGGTTACTCACAGGGAGGGAATGGGACAGAAGGTGGGAAATGCAGTTGTTTCCAGAAAGCAGTCTCAAATAGGAAGGAAGTGGGAAAGAAATAACCAAACTTATCCTTTGTTTTGCTAATTTCACATGGCTTGAACTCTCCAAAAAGGCAGCAGTCTAAGGTACCCTGGTAATACTGCCTAGATAGGCCAACCGTCCAGGGCACAGACCATGGCAGAGCAGGGAGGATGGATCTCTGTAATAAGCACAAGGAGCAGGTGGAAACCTTTCTAGAGCTGCTGCTGGTTGCTGACGGGGTCATAGTTCTTTAACAAATGTATACACAAAAGGTGGGAAACTTGTTTAAATGTTTAAATGAATGTAGATTTCCATCTCTCATTCCCAGAGGTTATCATTTTTGGCCAGGCTGGAGTACTATTGAGGGATCTGCATTTTAAACAGGCCTCCCTGAGAGTTTCGGATGTAAATGGTTCCGAGCCACTTTTGTGTGTTTCAGTGGTTAATTTAGGTGCCAAATTGCTGAGCCATTGCTAGAAGTTGCTAGATAACCTCTAGATGTTGTTCAAGGAAATAACATACCTTCACAAATACAAGCAGTAAGTCAGGTAGACAAAATAAAGCAAACAATAATGGGAATACAAGAAATCTTTGGATTCTTTTTGGCATATGATTTATTCTAACATGTGCTCAATATATTAAATAGTAATGTATATTAATATAGTATAGACCATACATTATGCTATAATTTTAAACATTACTGTTATCTATGCCTTTGCTTATGTCCTGAGATGATCAGGCTGGTGGTATAAACAAGGACAAGCTAATTAACTAAGTTCTACTTGCTTTACATCAATAATGACTTGTACTTGCACAGGGTGGTCACTGAGTAACATAAATCTTGGTTGACCTTTTTGTTAACTCATATTCTGTTTTAGAACAAATTACACTGCCTGTACGTTATGCTTCTCTGTTTGTAGAGACCTGCATATTGCAAGGTTTTCATGGCTGGATGACTAGAAATAGCGCAACCTTTTGAGTTAAACAGATGTAGGTTGAATGCTGCCAATTGCTGGGACAGTGGTAATTATCCCTACCTGCTCTGTTTTCATGAATGACTGTGAAAAGATGTTTATGAAGTACCTCACACTGGTCTTGGCCATCAGGAGTTGCTCATTCCCTCCCTGGCTATCAAACCTCTTGCTTTACCTGTTTGGCAGCAAACAGCTTGCCCTGGTATTTGTTGATCACAGTGTAACCGCCTTGTACTTGACGATCTTCATACCAGGCAACAGGTATCAAGAAATCACGAGGATTGGCCAAGCCATTAGCTCCTAGAACATAGTAATAGCAAATTCAAGGCCAGATTGAACTATATAATGAGATCCTGTGTTAAAAGACAAAATCAAAAACAAAGACAAAATAAAAAAGTAAAAAAATAAAAACACTACCAGCAGCAGCAACAACAACAACACAAACAAAAACCTTCCACAAATTGCTTTCATTACTCCAAGACTCACTGGATGCCTACGCTGGTACCTTTGTAGGAGGACCAAAGGAATTTGGTTGGGGGAAAAGAAACATTGGCAAAACTCACCAGTATCATTGTCAACATCATCTCAATTTGTAGCGTGACAAAGCCATTTTACATGCATTATTTCATCATTATGGTTTACAGAAAGGAACAGAAAAGAGAATATCTGACAGAATGTCAGACCTTTGTTTGTCCAAGAACACCTGAGTACTGTAGATCTTATCTACAGGAAGGGCTATATATATACTACTGTCCAAAGTAAGCCACTGCTCCTTAGAATCCAAGTCTGCAAACTCTCCAGCCTGAAAATTTTGCTTGCCATTCGGGAGAAAGAAGTATTCAGAACTTGCTGCTCAGCCCTGCTTTAGAAGGGAGTGTTTTCTTAAGAGAAAGCAAATGAATCAAAAGACCAAATACGAAAAGCGTAAGTGCAAAAACATAATTTAACTCTGAAAGGACAGACAGTTCCTGGGGTTAAAAAAAATAATAAGCCCCTAGCTGGTTTGTAAGTTATATATAGTTTCCTGAGAGCACATGTTTTGTGGAACCCAGAGCCAGCGCTGCCTGGGGAGCAGCAGGAAGCCAGACCAAAGTGGGAAGAGTGGGTGGCGAGCAGGATGACAGACGGCCGGCCGCCAGGGCTCCAGCTGCCTCTCTGTGCCTCCCACCTTCCTCTGAATATTTGGATCCCCCAGGAGAGTGACCAGAAGGCACATGCTGGCCTGTCCCTGTTTTCTCTGAAAAGCTGTTGACGAGGAAGGGAAGAACTGGGAGGTGTCGCCCAAGATGAAACCAAGGACCATTTTCCTCCGTTTTCCTTTTACTCCTCTGGAGGTCTGACAGCAACTCCTTGAAACACCTTCACTTTTTACTGCATCTCCTGCCTTCAAACATGGGGACCAGGGGACCTTTAATTGCTTCTGCAGTTTTCTCTGTCTTATGGGGACATTGCTTTTGGATGCTTCATGGCTCTCGAGTGATCTACCTCTTTACTGTTCCATTCGTGGATTTGGAAGAATGTGCCCAGTGAGTGTGAGGTCCACAAACTGCGTGTCATCAGTGTTCACTGTGCCTTTCCATAGGGGAGAACCCTGTTGGAGACCACTACGAAGCGGCTCCGAGCGGGATTTAAAATGAACTCATTGGCTTTCTATGTTTGTCTGTGAGTCTGTCCTAGGCCTCGGCCCCTGGCCTGGCCATGAGAGCTGATTCATAGGAAGTGAACCTCTATGAATCACTGATCCTTGCTGAGGCCTGGAGTGGCCTGTGAGGCCAGAGACACCTCAAAGGGCAAGACAAGGCCACAGCTGAGGATACTTGGCTCAAAGATTAATTAAATAGATAGAGACTGCAGCTGCAGGAATTACTCCTACAGTCCTACCCCTACCATTCTTCATGAAGATGAGACGGTTCTCCTAAATTGGCATGATTTATTACTTGGAGACGTCCTTGAAGTGACTCCCAAGGTCCTGCTCATTGCTTGTGCTTTCCTCAGTTTTCCCACACTTTGTTTTGGACCTAATAAAAATGGGTGGTCCAGAGAAGTCTGTCTTAGCCTTCAGAGTCTTGAACTCAGCTAAAGGGTTTTGATCTTCATAGAGCCCTAAAATCATATTATTTTTGTCACTTTGTTTAAGCCTTTGCTGTACACTCCTTTGGGAGACTGGGGATGTAAGGTCAGGACCCAACAGAACTCCAGCTGTTTTGATGGCCCTCTCCACTTACATACAACCTACTGACTTAAGAAAAGGATTATTCACGGGCTCATTCCCACTTGTGTGCTTTTGCTTATATTCCCTTTCCTTTTTACATCTCTTCAACTTTTCATCAAGAATTAATCAATCTTCTCTCTTCTGTGAAGGTGTTCTTGATGCTCCTGGCCACAGTAAACTGAACTTCTATATCCTTTGCAGTATACACTGTATACTGAATCTATCACTCTGTGTTTTTAGTACTGGATGTCTAGAGAGAAATTTATAATGGGTTGCCTTGAGTCATTTACGGTTATGCATGCAGTTAGGAAGACACATGGTCTACAGAAACTGTGTAGATACGAAAGCTGAAATTTGAGACAGTGAGAGGAGAAGAATTTTTAACTTTCATGCAATTATCTGTGTTCTGTTTCTCAAATGAAGCTTATGGTGAAGGCTCACCAATTGGTCCCAGGTCAGGTAACTCAAAGTGGACTCCATAGACCTCCAGGATGTAGCCCCTGGTCTCCTCAAAGACATCTATGCTGAACCGCATTCCTCTCTGGAATGGACAGAGACACAGTTGTGCTTTTCAAAATCATACCTGTAATTCTAAGGAATTTGTCCCACAAACCAGTCACACACATAAAAGTAAAGCTGTAGTTTGTTGAGCTATCTTTGGGAGGTTCCCAGATAAAATATGAGTTAGAAGAAAAACTTGGCTCCTAATGACAGTCAAATCTAATTTAATTTCTTATTAGGCCCAGAGACAATAGTGGCCCTTATTTAATCACACTTAAAACAAAACAAAAATACATTCATGGCCTTCTACCTCCAACAGAGGCTCTCCAGAATAGATATGAACATTCAGGGAAATGAAATGACAAATGCTTTTTGCTTCATATTGTGTGCAAAATTAAAATGAAAGCAGGCACTCTAGCCCGCTTACACTTCTGCACACAAAGCCTTCTGTGTAGCTCAAACTCCTCCCTGTTGCCTAGACATGACAGAGACATTTTAAAGTTGGAAATAGCAGCAGTTGAAACATCTGATTGCTCCCAAATTAGGGACAGGCAAGGAGAGAGGGGGTACATTACTAACCTGAATGACGCAGATCTCATTGGGCTGCACACACATCTTGCCAAATTCAGTGTAAATGAGAAGCTTCCCTTTTTGGGGAACTGACAAAAACCAAAAAATGAAACAAAACAAAAAGATAGGACAATAGTGTGTAACTGTGTAAGAACCATTTCATGAATTCTTAAGGGCTGTGTTTTCTTTTTATTCCAAATAAAAAGAGCATTATTGTTTCTCTTGGGGGGAAATGTATACTGTATTCGGACAATTTCAGCTAGTTATCTTTCTGTCTAGAAGAATATGAATAAAAAATGACTTACTTTTCCTGTTCTTTTTTTAATGGTTTCCAGGTGAGGTGCTTGTATGTGCACAACATTGTGAATTGATTGAAAAGGGTAACAGAAATAGGATGGAAAGTCACCCATTTCTGACAGTTCCAGCAGAAAGCTGGGATTTACACAGTGAATGTCTACATCAAAATGTTGAAATAAAATATCAATATTAAAACCACCAAATGGGATGGGAATATGTACCAGTAAAATTTCTGCTAGACCTTGTATTTTAAATGGTCTCATGAAATTTTACATTTAAATTGTACTTATCAGTGACAGATGGACTTTTCTTGAGCAAATTTGAGAGTGAATGAAGATTTTGAAAATAACATAATCATGTCAGTATCATTCTTCATTTGATTTAAACTGCTCATATCTCTCAGACCAGAAAAGAAAGGCAAATAGAGATCAGAAACAGAGTAAGAGTGTTGGGGGTATGCTAGGAATCTGTTATGGCTTAGATCTGGAAAATCCCCTCAAAACCTCATGTGTTCAGAATGAGTCTTTAGGAAAGTGATTGGGCCAGAATCATTCGTGGATTCTTCCACCGGTGAGTCCAGTGGTTATATGTGCGTCAGGAGGTAGATACTAGTTAGAGGCGGTGACTGGGGGCATGATCTGGAAGGTTATACGTGTCCTGTCTTTCTCTTTGTGTCCTGGTACCGTGACGTGAACAGCTTTCCTCTATTACACTTCTCTGCCATGCTGTTTTCCATGGATTGTGGACTGTAACCACAGGCCAAAATAAACCTCTCTCCCTTGCAGCTGTAGGTGTTGGATATTGTGTTCCAGAAAAGTGACTAAGACATCTTTTCCATGCCACCGGTGGTCTTTCAACCCCAGCCCCTAGGCTGCATAAAATGTAATAGCACAGACTGGAGATTTCAGGAAAATAATGTGTGGAAAATTAGAATGTGACTTGTGGCTAGGGATTGAGGAGTCTGAAATCTTCAGAACTTACCAATCAGGAAATCTCCATCTGAATTGTAAAAGCATCTGAAACATAAAGTACCTCTTGTAATTTTCAATTTTAACATTATCTAGACAAATTAATTCATTCTACAAATTACTGTGTAGGGCCTATTTTGTACAAGTCTCCATGCAGGGTATAAGATGCTGAATAGAACAACCCAGTCTCTGCCTTCATGGAGCAACGAAAAATTTTAGAACTATAAGGTATAAGAAAAAATACAGTGGCTATTTCAATTTTTTAAAAAATTACAGTAAAATACATATTATCATTAACATCTTCTCAATATTTTCCCTCTTACTTCAAACACAACATCCTTGACACTTTTTGAAGCAGGTCTGGAAATCCTCTTTCATGAGCTCTCTAGTGGTATTCGATGTCCTGAATTAATTAAAAATATTTACCTTGTATGGTCATTTTGACTTTGGAGAAGAGGTAGAAATCACAAGGTTCTAGATCATAAGGGAGATGAGGGCACATGGTAATGTTTTTAACAAGCCTGCTGTTCTGCGGGATGGCACGTGACAGCAGCATTCCCTGTATTTTTTTTTAATCACAATTTACACTATAAAGACACAAAGAGGACTTCCTGAACTGCTTCAGAAAGTCACAAGAATTGTGTATTATTGAAAATAACAATGGCACTACGTAAGTCAAATTCAAGAGAATTACAAAATAGGAATCTATGCTGCTTTGGGAAGGCAATAAAGGCTTTACTAAAGATGGGACATATGACCGAAGACCCGCTATCTGGGAAAGAGGGTAGGACATTCCAGACAAAAGGAAAAGTATGCAAACATACTCTATTGCAAGAAGACCATGGCAGGTTGAAAGAAGACTGCAGGCAACTTAGCTTGAGTGCATGGGAGGTGGTCTGATAAGGAATTAAACCTAAAGAGAGGTCTCCAGTGACTTACCATAAGGCCATGATCTTGGCTTTAATTCATGGGCTCAAAGAAGTTAAATAGCTTATTTAGTCAGCAAGCTTGGAGTTCAGGTTTGAATATAATATAGAATCAAGGTTTCAGAGATCATATGCAAAGCTCTTATGAAAGGCAGGAATGCCATTTACTGTTTTAAATTAGAAAACATAAACCTCTTTACTTGGAAACATTAAGCTTACATTAAGCTATTACCTGAAGCTAGTTCTGTTAGCTTGATCTACCATCAACAAGTGGCCTTAATGGCTGCTCATGTGGTATGACTTTAACCTCGAGAACAAGATGGGGAACCTGAGAAGTTAAAGAGTCTTTTAACTCAAACCTACCTAAAGTCAAAATGTCCCTTGCAGTATTCCTTTATTCTAGGACCCCATCCTCAGTTTTCTGTTTGCACTGGTATTGTTACATTCTTGTTTATGTCACAAGAGTCAGTCAAAATAGAAATGCTTGTTACCATTAGTAACAGATATATATTGACACTGTTCTGTCAACATATATTTATTAATATACATATTGACAGATGAGAACAACAATGCATGCACATATGTGATATTATAAAAGTGAGCCTCTCATTCTCTGGCCAACAGCCTCTGGGAAATGGGGATTTTTCTGCCCTAGAACTGCACTACTCACCTGTCGTCCATGGAGCTGTTACACAGGAAAATGTGAACAGCAAGGCCATTGTTGGACCTGATGTCTCCAGCTCCACACAAAGTGTGCAGGCCCTGGGTCGAGAGGCAGTGATGAATACAGGTAGTACCCATGAGACTAGCCCTCCATCTGGCCCCTGAGGGGTGTCATGAGGGCAGGATCTAGCAGCATCCTGTCTCCAGGACCAGTGGGTTATAGGAGATCCAGACTGCCCACCTGAAATACACTGAATATTTGTTGCTTTGTGTCTTACCCCCATTGCCAACCATGGCCTAAATCTGGATTGTCTTAATGGTTATATCTGATGAATTTATAGAGCATAAATTTAATATTTTAAATGAATTGAAAAGTGACATTTTTATCAGTTTGATGCTCAGCCCAAATGGGAGGACACATCATGTAGGAGGTGATGTCAGGTTTCTGGGAGGCTCAGGAAGGCAAGTGGCAGCTTTAGGAGACAGTTAATGCCCTTCAAAGGTATCTCACTATGTGGACAGCCCTCTGCTGTGAAGAGGGTCAGCTTAATTTCCCCCAGAGCAATGCATTCTGGCTGAAATTCTTTCAGCTATGTGACCAGAGGATCCACTGCGTAAGAAAGCATTAACACATGGACCTTCCCAAAATAGCCTTTACCCAAACCTACAGATGGAAAGTCCAAATGAAGGAAGTTCTGTTCCTCATTATCCATACTTCATATAGGAAGATTGGTTTCTCTTTGTATTTTAGCTCATTTTGCAAATTTCGAGTTTTTTGAAGCGAATATACGTAAGGTTTAAAGCACTTAGTAAGGATAAAGAATTCACGATGTTGTAACAACGTGGCTGATGGACTGTCCTTCACTCAGCCAGGGGCCACATTGGTCTACAGAGGCCTCCACTTGCTTCCTTTAACCTCTCCTCCTTTTAGCACCCTTCCTTCACCCACATAGCCCTTGTTCTGGGCACAAGTGTGCCATTATTCCCAGTACCTGTAACTGGTACCATGCTAACTAGAGCTGCAGCCTGAGCTGATTCTAGCCCAGCTGGGTCACTTCAGGGGGTCCATGAATTTGGACGGCAAACATTTTATATTTATTTTCATTAATTTCTGAGTGAAATTTGTATTTTTCTATAACTTATATTAATACAGGTAGCAAACCACTCTAGTATTAGAATTGTCCATAACTATACTTAATGATAGAAATTATGGATGTTTTTATATCACATATTGCAAATATCTCAAAATACCATTTATGCTCATACCATAGATATTACATTTACCAAGGATCTTTGTTTTAGGATATTAACAAGGAAACCTATATCATATGACCATATGCCAAACAAAATTTGTATAAGGAATATCTTTATTATTGTATTTCAATACAGTGGACTTCATAATTTTATATAATTTATCTTTTACATTTAAAAATACGGGTGTCACCAGACCATCAAAGGGGTCCTAGCAGGAAAAGTAGTTAAAATCCTCTGTTCTAACCTGAAGAAAGGGGGCTCAAAGTAGGAAAATATTTGCTTTCCACTGGCCTTTCTAAGATGTAAATAGCTCCAGAGTGCCTTTCAGTGTCAGGAGCCATCTGGTGCCTGTAAGGAGACATCCCTTGGCCAGGCCCCAGGGCATATGCAGGCACTTTTGTCTCTGCTGCCTCCTGATATGGCTTTCTGCTTGGCATTCAGCCTGCAAATGGTCAGCTCACTCACCTCAGAAGAGGGGCGGGCAGAGGGAAGGTGCAGAATACTTACATTCACGAAGTCTACTTTCTTCTGAGAGGTTTTTGGAATCTCGAACGGTTTCCACCTAAGCTGGAGGAAAAAAAATACACACATGGGAAAATTATTTCATAAGGGGAAGCAATAGGCTTTCTAAACAAGTAGCATCAGTTACATTACATCAAAAAAGTGTGCCTACTGGTGATTTTATTATTTTAAAATCAATGATTTTCCATCATTTCTTTAAAGGGGCTTTGCTGGTGTATATATGTGTGTGTGTGTGTGTGTGTGTGTGTGTGTGCGTGTGTGTGTATGTGTGTGTGTTGTAGGTACATTGTGTGTTCATATGTGTTTTTTAATATATATATAAGTACAAACTGTCTTTGTTCCTTAACATTTTCAATTACAAGGAGAAGTCATTGCTTCATTTTTCAGAAACTATTTATTTCTTTTAACATTTTGCTCAGGCACATCAGTGAGTTTTGACTGATGCTGCTTTTCACACTATTTATAATCAGCTCCCTTTGCTGGCATGCCAGCCTCTCTGTGTGGGCTCCTGACACCACAGGAGAAGGTTCTGCTTCTACTTCCAGCCCTGGGAGTTTTGAATTAGTTCTTTAAGAGAAAGAAAACACACCCAGCTGAGATTAGATTTGGTAAATATAGTGCTGTTTTCAGTGTCCGTACCAAACCTTACTTTTGTCCATAGGCTGCCTGATGGTTCAGTTTAAATCACAACAGTCTTTAATTTAACAATAAAGTGATCTAAAGAAGTGGAGAGAAGAGTCAGCAGGTTCAGGCCCCACTCAGATTGTCAGCACTGCACTTATAAATCTACATGGCAGCAGGTGTGACCTGCCCAGGCTGGTGGCTGAGGCCTCCGCAGTCTCATGTAGTGACCAGTCTCATGTAGTGCCCTTCACCCAGGGCTGCCTCTAGTGGCTGCCACATCCGGTGGAGGCGATTGGGCAGGGCTCCATCTAGTCCTGTGCCTTGGTTCATTCTGTATTTCAGAAGCACAAACAGATGGGAAAGGAAGCAGCAAATGGAAAAAAGGATGGTTTGGCTTCTCTAACATACACAGTTGTGCAACAGACTTAATTTCCTTTTTTTCTTTTTTACTGACACCAGGGATTGAACTCACGACCACATGCTTGCAAGGCAGGCACTTATGCCACTGAGCTAAATCCCCAGCCCCAGACTTAATTTCTTAAAAGCAAAGCAGGAACATCACATTATGAGACTACTTAAAAAGCAAGCAAAAGAAGGATTTGAAAAAGACCTTTAGGGGACTGGGTATTTAGCTCAGTGGCATAAGCACCTGCCTTACAAGTGGGTGGGTGGTCGTGAGTTCGATCCCTGGTACCAATAAAAAGGAAAAAAAAAAGACCTTTGAAACTGCTTCAGAAAGACAGAAATGTTTCAGAACTAATTCCATTAAGGATGATTTTTCTTGGGGGAAAGGGAGACTTTGAGAGCAAGGATCTAGGAAAGAATTCCTCGACTTTCAGTACTTCTGACATTTTGTGCTGGATAATTCTTTGTATTGGAGGATGTTTAGCACCATCTCTGACCTCTACCTACTAAGATGCAGATAGAGTTCTTCTAAGCTGTAAAGACCAAAAATAAGCCCAGACATCAAATGTACTGTGAGGACCAAATGTCTCTTGGCTGAAAATTACTGACCACTGACCTGAAAGGATATTCCCCTGACTTCAGAAAGTACCACCCACAATTGAGTGCTGCTAAATTCTCTCTCTCTCTCTCTCTCTCTCTCTCTCTCTCTCTCTCTCTCTCTCTCTTTCTCTCTCTCCTCTCTCTCTCTGTTCATGTGTGCACATGCATGTATGTGCATGCATGTGCTGGTTATTGAACTCAGAGCTTCAAAAATGTTTATTAGATGCTCTACCAATGAGCTACTCCTGGAATACTGCTGAAGCTTTGAGAAGAGGTCCTGGCCTAATACTAAACATTACTTTGCCACTTCTTTCTGTAGTAGCAGTGTGATTTGCATATCCAGGAAAATTGTCTGAAAAAGAGACATCATTTTACATTTCCCAAAGGAAGAGGACTGGAGTATCAGATCAATGGTTGTCTAGGCAACCTTTTAGCTCTCTAACCAGAGATTTTCAACCCTAGATACTCATGAGAATCACCTGCACAGCTTTTGAAACCAAGACCAAATTAAATCAGTACCTGTGAAGGTGAAGCTACGGCACTGTGGGGGATGAGGTGTCACTTTGTAGGCCCAACCCCCTCTAACCTGCAATTTACAATAGCCCCCCTGGTATGCGAGACCGAGGTAGAATAGGAATGCCTGTTCTCAGTGAGATCCCTCACCCTCTGGAATCCATACTGTGAGCTGGCTTTGTTTTGCAGAAGTCTTGAGGAAGTGGCTGGCCACCCTTTGTGACACTAACAGCAGACAAATTAACAACATTCTTGAGCTAATGAATTTCTTCCTGGGCTAGAGAAGTTATGAGAACTGGTTGTGATTATTTACTTCACTTAGATAGTTTTAGAATAAACATTGTAGTCTGTCACGTTGTAGCTTGCCACAAAGAATGCCTTTTCACCACTTAATTATCTGGGCTCTGTGAACTGATCGGGTTTACTATATATGAATCCTAAAATAAAGATTGTGCGTGCAGTGCAGTGTAACGCGGTGCAGACAGTAAAGGTGCCGTGTCCTGTCTTCCTTTCCGAGCACTGTACCCCCCGTGTCCCGATAAGGCGTGTGTGCGTGTTTACCTTTCCCGGAGTTCAGAGTGCTCTAGACACTCACGACAAGTGGCGCCCGAATTCAGGGACTCCGAAGGTTGCTTAGGAAGGTAAGTATAATTTTATTACGGGGAAATGGGACAATCTGCTTCCTCTCCTTTCTTAAAAATTCTTAAACATTTATTATCTATATATGACATATTGCTCAGGTCAGCTGACTTGGATATGTGTATTGATACAATTAAAGAATATAATCCTTGGTTTCCAGATGAAGGAACTTTGGATGTAGAAGTATGGAGGAAGGCAAGGGTTAGTATAGAAAGGGCTATGCAACAGGAGGAGAAGATTCCTTTACGTTTTTGGGCTATTTGGTCGGTTGTGTACTCTTTATTAAAAGCTATGGAAGATGAACATATTGTAAAAAATCTTCAACTAGAAATTAAGCCAGTTATTCAGGAATTGCCCCTCACAGAGGAGGAGCAGAATGTAGTTCAAAATGACGCTATCGCTTTAAGTAGTGAAAAGGCGTCCAAACTAAAAGTAAAATCCGCTACAGCCGACTCAGCTTTAGCTGCCGCAGCAATATCAAATTATGACAATCGCCCAATTTTACAGGCTATACAGCATTTAACACAAGAGGTGAAACAACTCTCCGTTAAGCAGAACCTGCCTATAGCTCCCTCTGCACCTCCTCCATCTAACCCTAATTGGAGTAAAGCCAAGCTAGCTTTGGCTGATCTACCAAAATTAGGGGATTCTGACGAGGAAAAGCCTGCCTTTGCTTTCCCTGTAATCAGGCCGCAGCCAATAGATGGAGCGGCAGTTCCCCCTAGATGGGAAGCATTTAATATAGATGATTTAGCAAAATTAAAAAAGGCTGTAACCCTTTATGGCCCTCAGGCTCATTACACTAAAGAATTAATAACGTCGGTAGCAGATCAGTATGGTAATCTTGCTCCTTATGATTGGAAGGCCTTGGCCAAAATTCTTTTAAAAGAGCCAGAATATTTACAGTGGCACATGTGGTTTATGGAAGGTTGTGCGGAAAAGGCAAGGCAAAATGCTGACGATCGAGATCCTAATATTAGACTCATTTCTTATCCCATGCTCTCTGGTACAGGTTTCTTTGATACTGTTGAGCATCAGGCAGGAGCTCCAAGAGAGATTCATGCTCAATTAAAAAGTATTGCTTTAGAAGCTTGGGATAAAATACGGCCTAAAGGATCAGAATATGGATCTTGGGCTAAAGTTCTGCAAGGAGCCAATGAACCGTATGTTGAGTTCGTTGCAAGACTTCAAAATGTTATAGAAAAAACAGTAGTGGGACAAGACTTACAACAGCATCTCTTAAAAATTTTAGCTTTTGAAAATGCTAATGATGAATGCAAAAGGGCTTTAATTCCAATAAAAGATACTGGAACGATTGACAGTTTTATAAAACAATGTAAAGATTTAAATTCAGAATCTAGGAAAATGCAACTGTTTGCTGAAACCATGGCAAACACGTGGACTAATTGACAATCTAAAAAGGAACAGTCTTTAAAATGTTTTAATTGGTAATAGCACAGGATAAAATTCAAAAAAAAAGAAGTTAGTCATTATTTGGGATATATTCTTACTAGACAAAAGGTGATTCCACAAAAAATGTCTATTAGGAGAGATAAGTTATCCACTTTAAATGATTTTCAAAAATTATTAGGGGATATTAATTGGCTTCGTCCCACACTAGGTATTCCTACCCATGCATTACAACATTTGTTTGCTACTCTACAGGGCTCTTCAGATCCATCCAGCCCTCGTTCTTTAACAGCAAAAGCAGAACAAGAATTACAGCTTGTAGAACAACAAATTAAGGATGCATTTTTAATTAGGATTGATCCTAAATTGCCTCTAACTTTATATATTATTAATACTTTTCAATATCCCTCTGCAGTTTTAGGTCAGAATGCTATGCCAGTAAGATGGGTATTCACTAAAACTAAGCAATCTAAAAATGTCACACCGTATATCGATATGGTTGCAGCTTTAATTATGAATGGTAGAGCTCGTTCTATAACTTTGATAGGAGAAGATATAACCAATATAGTTATCCCTTTAACTAAGAAACAATGGGAATATTTGTTGTCAATTACTGAAACCTTACAAATTGCTTTAGCAGATTTCATGGGAACTTTTTCATATCATTTTCCTAAAAGTAAATTATGGGAATTTTTTAGATGTCAACAATTTGTGGTTAATACATTATTAGCTGTACAGCCAATTCCACAAGCTTTGACTATATTTACAGATGGATCTAAAAATAAAGCTGCATATTGGACTCAAAAATCTTACTGGGTACGTCAGACAAATTTTAACTCTGTACAACAAAATGA